TCTGCGCTGGACAACGTAGGTAAGTCTATTTCACGGTTGTGCAGGCTAATTATAGCAGACCTTGGGGAACGCTGCTGCAGTAGTGCTGTCTCCCATCCGGGCAGAATGCGACAGAACTCAAGATGTACTCAACAGATAGTAGAACATCAATGTGGCGTAATTCTTTTCGTTAATTCTGCCACCTGCCACACCGACAGAATATGGTATTCCACCAGTTCTGCCCATCACATCGTTTGAATTTTTTATCATAATTTATGCACAGGGAAGAAAGGTAGCGGGAACACGCTCTGTTCCACTACATAGAGATATATCATATCGTCATTCGTGCGATCTGAAGACATCTTGCTGTCTTACGCAGCTTAGCAGCCCGGCTTTTCTACATATCACCATATGCTAGTTTTCAAACAGGTTCTGGCTACTCCCGCTCGAGCGCTCTTGATCCGCGATTTCTAGAGATCGACCACTTGAGTTTTCATGATTCGGACTATGAAGTACATAAGTTGTTGCTGCAACATTGCAACAAACGAAGAGCCGACAAATCGATTATGAAGAAACGACATACAGTAAGATGTAAAACACGATGCAAAGATGTACTGAAAATGAAAAGGAAAAGCGCGCAGGCTGGATGGGCACCGGTACCATGCATCAACAGGAATAATTGTTCCATCATAATTTAGTGCTGAGATTAATGTCCTTGTCCATTCAACACCTGGAGGTACGGCTGTTCGTTGTGCATCAATATCAGCTCATCGATAAAACAAATCTTCCATCAAATCCCCTTCTCCTCCAAAAACTTATCCACAGTATCCCAAAGCTCCTTGGCAAGCCCCTCATCCGTTGCCACCTTCGTTGGCTCTACTATCTTACCCACTGGTGTCAAATACACGCCCTTGTACTTCTCGCGCTGCTTGGCGACTTCTTCCGACGCAGCTGCAAACGCCGAGTTGTACGCACCCTGGTCTGGTTGTAAAAAGAAGAGGGACACGATAGGCTTGACGATGAACTGGACGTGAGATAGGGGTGGTTTATGGGTGAAGGTGTTGACTGCTCCAGGGTGAATGGCGATAACGGTGATGGGAGAGCCAACAGCGGTGAAGCGTCGTTGAAGTTCAAAAGCATAGAGCATATTCATGAGTTTCGACATGCCTAGTGAAGGGATTTCATGAGATAAAAGATACCGATGGACGACCGACGTACAATAACGCGCGAAGCTGGGTGAAAGCGAACTCTTGAACTCGTTGTTAAAATCATCAAGGTTGCGGAAACGAGTTTCCCCTGATACAAACCGGTGGGCGTCTGAAGCGACCTGGATGGTGGTATGGAACTGTAAGTTTCGGGATGTATGGGGTGAATCAGATTCACATACGACGACTATGCGGACGTCTGAATTTGGTTCAGCTGCTGTCTGGTCCAGCAGCGGTTGAAGGGTGCGTGTCAGGACGACATGACTGATGACACTGGAATGAATAGGTGAGTGCTTGGTACATGTTTTTTAGCCAGGAGACGCACTTGACCATCACTATCTCCTGAACTCCTAGAATGTTGTGTGAGTGCAGATCTCTACGGAGCGAGACCAAAACTTACCATCCGGTGTCATGGCATAACTTTCAATCATCCTATAGGGCATTCAGTATCGATCACGCCCATGCGAACAGAACAGCTTACACCGCAGCATTGTGAACTGTGATTCGTTCAGCATGCCAAAATCGTGAACGAACAAAAACATATACTGACTGAGAACATCCAATCTCTTCTCCTGCTTCATAAATTCCTCTGCCGCTTTCTTCGCATTTCGAGGGTCCTTCAAATCGAGTTCCAACCAGATAACATCGCCGTTCCCAGGACCCAGTCCCTCTGCTGTCAGTTGCGCGATCGCCTCCTCTGCCTTGCTTCGGTTGCGTGCGGCCATGTACACCTTGGCACCACGACGTGCCAGGTGCTTCACAGTCGAGTAGCCGATACCTGCGCTACAAAGCAGCTATGTGAAACAAATTTGGATCATGAGAGAGATTGTACTCACTTGCCACCTGTGATAAGTATGACTTTACCAGACAAGTCTGGGAGGTCAGTGACTGGGTCGAATGATTTTGAGAAGAAACCCATAGTGATGAGATAAATAAATGTAACAAGAAAGGGGGAGAAACAACAGAAGGTAAATGTCGAGTACAGTTAGTTGTTTATATACGGGGCGGTTGCCAGGGATGATTAGATCATTGGCCGACGACATGCTTTGTCAATACCGGTGACCGTGTGTCACAGTTGTACGCGCAAGTGCTACAGCAAGCTAAACTCCGAGGCAACTCCGAGGATGTCGGAAATTATTCTGTCCGTCGGCTTGCAATTGAAAAAAGGATGGCTGTTTTCCTTATAAAAGTTTAACCTGAAAGGGAGACTGTAGTCTGTCAGTCCCGGGCCATCTGGGGAGAATTAGCGCCTGAAGTCAACACAGCAGCAAACATTACCTCGAGGGCCAGATCGACAGATGGCTGAAACGCAATGTCAATCATCCATCCTTAGGACCGACCCCGTGGCAAAATCTGTCGTTTTCTGGGGAAGGTTAGGAATGATGCAATCAAAAGGATTTCTGTAAGTCGAGACTCGAAATCAATACTGAGTGTACTAGGATCCCAGGGATAATCTTACACAAACGAAGTTCAACGATCCACACAGGTGACATTCCGATTTCCGCTCTCTCTGTCTAACTTCTGCTGACCGCACGGATTCAGGATACTTCTGCTGTTGTGAAACAAGGCGCCGATCCCCAATCTGTCAACAACGCACTTTGGGATGCCGGTCATGGTGCAGATCAGATGACTTTGGGGACGCGCGAGACCCGTATTGTCCGCAGGCAAAAATGGACCAGCAGCGCTCGATGATATAGACAGTGTAGAGGCTACTCATATTCAACTCAGGATATTCGACGCTGCATCAGTGAACTGAGGGATAAACTAGAAAGAGATATATAACAATGTATAGTACATAATTACAAGCATGAGCATAATTCTGCTATCGATCATTACATTCTAATATTTGACCTTATAGAGGAAAGAATAGTTCCTGATGTTCATATCCCTGCGTGCAATCTGGAAAAGGCTTATATGTTGCTTGAACTCATACCGGAAGGGAAGGTGGAGCAAAAGTTGACAATAAGACTAGAGGAATTACCACTGCCACATCAAAGATAAAACTCATGATTTCAAAGTGAAGAATGTAAGATGGCATTGTTTCAAAGAACAACTGTATGTCCACGTAGTGAACAAGGACACATACATGTGCTTCTGTGAGTTTCAACACCATCTACTTTAAGTTCTTGATATCTGAAGACTGTAGGTCAACTTCCCAAATCATGATGAAAGACAGCACCTTTCAAATAATGACTATGTGCCTACAGAGTAAATGGGAATAAATATATGTGCTGTTGTGAGTTTTGATGCTATCTACTTGAAATTCTTGATGTCTGAAAATCATAGGTCAATTTCCTGAGTCATGAATGAAAGACAGCACTGTTCAAAGAATGGGAGTTGCAGAGCAATAGTTAATGAAATAAATGTATCTACTGCTTTGAGTTCTGACACCATCTGTTTGATATTCTTGATACTCATCAAGTATATATCAGTTGTGAATCTGACTGAAAAAGCTGTACCTAGTTCACGCTTGACACTTGCCTCAATATCTCTCTTGTCATGCAGCTGTGCAGTTGTATAGCTTTGTGTCAAATCTCTGTCACTTCAGTGACAACTTTCTATGTGAGCATAGAGGCCAATATCTTGCAGATAACATCAGTATAGTCATTCAAGCGCACAACCAGGAGATTAGTTTGTGCTTTGACTTCAAAGGCCATCTTTTCTATATCTAATGTTTGTCTGCTATGTATCAGTAGCAGATAATGTTGATATATTCATTCAAGCATGTAACCAAAAAATAAGCTTGTGCTTTGACTGCACAGAGCCATCTTTTGGATATATCTGATATTTGTCAGCTATATGTAAATTGGGAATCTGTGCAAAAAAGCTATACCTTGCCAACAGTTGGGGCACATTTTCCAAGTCTACTCAGCAGAAAGCTAAGCATTCATTTTGATATGTGTCAGCTATATGTAAATTGGGAATCTGTGCAAAAAAGCTATACCTTGCCAACAGTTGGGTCACATTTTCCAAGTCCACTCAGCAGAAAGCTAAGCATTCATTCTGATTTCAATGCTATCCCTTTCAGATGTCTGTTGACCACCTGTCATTCCTTGCTTACCATTTGACAGAGGTAAGATGTATTGAACCATGCATCAACACAATTGCATGACATTGTGCACTGTCAGAAGTGTTCTTAATGAGGACATTTTGAGGTTATTTCTTTCAGACATCTAATGATCATCCATCATTCCTTGCTTACCATTTGACAGAGGTGAGATGTATTGAACCATGCATCAACACAATTGCATGATGTTGTGCACTATCAGAAGCATTCTTAACACAGTCATTTTGAGGTAATCTCCTTCAGATATCTAATAACCATCCATCATTCTTCATTTACCATTTGACAAAGGTAAGGTGCATTGCACCATGCATCAACACAAGTGTGTGCTGTTGTACACTACCAGAAGAGTCCTTGATAAAGATGTTTTGCTGTCATCTCTTTCTAATGTCTAATGAGTATCTGTGGTTCCTGGCTTACCATTTGACAACAGTAGGGTGCATTGCACCATGCATTGACACAATTGTGTGTTATTGTACACTATCAGAAGAATTCTTGACGAGGACATTTTAGTATCATCTTTTTACTAATCACCACGAATGTCCTGTATTTCCAGGGTCAGAAAAAACAGACAGATTCACAGACTGTAGCTTAAGATCGGCGGGAGTAGTGCAAACTGATGCTTTCAAAGCTTTAGCCACTCGCATTTCATACGTCATCGAGTCACAAGTAATCAAAAGTCATGACATTATTGAACTAAAATTAGGATATAAAGTGACATGCAAATAAGATGGTAAGACGATAACAGATACTTAGTCTGAATTGAACGAAATGTCATCGCGGTCCGCTCTCTGCCTTGCGAGAGTGTTAATGGACATGGCAGCCTTTGCCGCATTGCTAAGATCCTCACGTCGACGCCTTCCGAAAACTTTTCTAAGGAATTTGAAATAATTAGTCGAGACTTGTTGAAAGGATGGATGCCGCACATAGTCCACCACTCCAGGAGTCTGGTGACTCTCCGCCGCGCTTCCCGGCCAGGGGGCCTTTCGAAAAAATCCACTATAGTTTGCCAAAACTGTATATAGTCGAAGTCGCCGTCGACAGACCGCCAGGAAGTAACAGAGGAAAGGGCGAATCGTACCTGCCAGTACAGCCATCATTTACATTTTTCAGAACGAAACTATCAGAACGACTTACTTGGCAAGCGATGTACGCAATAGAACGTGGAGTGACCTTATCCATCTTGATAATTTGCGCTACATGTTTCTTGACCTTGATTCCTGAGAGTGCTTTCTTCGCGCGCCTGTTGTTCTCGACGATATCTGCGCCATCGCCGTTACCGTCAACGTCCTTTGCTGAAGAGGGCGAAGTAAACACAGCTTTATAACCCTGCGAACGAGTTAGGATTGTTCCTGGAGAACTCAGGTACGACGAACCTGCACAAGAATTCTGCCCTTGAAGAGCCCTTCCTCCAGATCGTCTGAATTGGCATTATACTTTTCATACAAAAACGACGGAAAGGAGAGATCCGTGACAACATAGCCCTCCGATCGATCTCGAATCCCTGTCCTTACGCTGGTGAACAGTTAGCGTTGTTCAGGATCCGGAGTGCACCGTAAATACTTACGCTGGGTCGTTCCAGTCAAGTTCAGCCGGGCAAAGTAGCCTACCACACGCCTCATTGATGAATCCGCGACAATTCTTATTGTCATGGTCAACAGGAGGGTCTGGTTTCAGTTCGCGATTAACCCAGTCTGAAATAAGAGTCTTGAGCTTTGATGTATCATCCCCATGAGCACCGTCAGCCCCTTGCCTAAGCTAAAAATGACTTAACGATAAAGTCAAACATTGATAGTGATAAAACACACCAATTTTAACAGGCGCACATACTCATCATGCTCCATGTCCGTGACCGTCTTCAAAAACCAGGGCAAGGTTCTCGTCAGGACATTATATCCTTCTGCCAGCCGATCTTGGCTACATAAAAGTCAACGAGTTCAGTCACTGCAAGAAATTAGTAAGAAAACATCACTGACTCGATAGTAGCAGCATCGTGATCGTGATCGTCTTCGAGATCATATCTTCTATCATTTTCCGATACAAGGTCCTCGACGCCGTTGAACAAAGCAACGACACGCCTGAAGCCTCTTCCTTGGGCCAAGTAATAATTTGTTTGCCTTTGGCACATGGTGAGCAAACTTGAACGTATGCAGCGGAAGGAATCATGATATCTTTCTTTCACAGCTCGCCCGGACTCGAGACTCTCTATTTTCTCCTCTAGTTCGGCAATTTTTCGTCTGTGCCGAGCTTGCGCAAACGTTGATTGGGATGACTCGAAGTCAGGCTGCTGAATACCATGGTCGTTCCGCCGGCTCCCGGTCGGTGATGCGCTGCCCTCAGCATGCGACATGGAGTTTGACTCGGAGAAGGACTTGGAAGTGACAAACGGGCTTCAAAAGCAGTAGACGAAGAATGAGAATGAGGGAGGTAAAGACGATGGAAATGAACTCAACTAGCACTCGCTTTATATACTGGTGGGCTCAGACACGTGACTGCCCTAAAACATTTAATGTGAACATTACTGCATCCCCCACATACGAAGCGATTGCAAGAAGATGAACTTACTTAAAATGGACTTGACGAAAGCGTGATATTATGTAAGCACGATGCGCAAATGATTTTCCCTGCTGTCAGCTTTCATCAGTCTGAGCCGGAAAAGCCCTAATTTCATCGTAGCGAGCACACACATGCTTGTAAGTTCATCCCATGAAATACAGGTCCTGTCAGTTGAAGCTCTGGAAGTCGTAGCCAAGCCGATGCAGGCAATTGAGATGAGGGCGGTATCAACCAGATGCGACTGTTTGTAGTGTCAGTATATCAAAAGAGGAAAGCACAAGGCACTAGCCACTCCAGTCGATGCAGCTCAGTGGTTATCATCGCCATGACGTCCCGACTAGCCCTCGTGTTCTCCTCCATAAACTAAAAGTAAAGCTCAGTGCGAGAAACAGGTACTGCAATGAGTAGAAACGTTACCATTGGACAAGCATCATTTCTCATATTCGCCCAAACCTGACGATTGATCAGATCTTCCCATAACTTTATGTCTGTCTCAAGTTCATCCCTGAAGATAGGGGGGAGTAACCGGAACGACGTATGGTTGACTAAAGCACCGGAAGACCCGACTGCAAAGTCATCAGTAGCAGGGAACATACGAGCGTATAAAGCAAGCGTTGCGACATACTAGCACTCTGCCTGGATTTCAGTGTGACTGGCAACACCACGCATGTTCCATTCATGCGTCTTTTTCCCTCCCAGTTGATCATAACACATGCGCGTTTCGTAGTATGACTCGACCCAGAGTGAGCGGGCGATATGAAGTCTTCAACAAAGATTTTCAAGTTCTGATAAAGGTAAAGGCGTGTCCGAGAATAACAATCGCAAGAGATTTGTAGAAAGACGCACCGACTTCCAACCTCTATGCTACCACTCTCCTAAGAAACAGTGACGGAAGTCAGTCCTTGGTGCTGTTGCAGACGGTGAGCAAGCATGAGAAACAGGGGCGGACACAGACATATTCACACTCCACTTGAAGGTGCCGATGTGACATGTCCCAGAATGTCTGGATATACAACGACACCCGGCACAACCGGCACCTGCTAAAATTCGAACTCCGTGCTTCACCTGCCAAATCTCTCCGAGATCGACTGACTACGTCAAAGTTCCCCACTTTCATGCAGTGACGTACGTCAGACTGGGCACGAGTCTAACCACAGCAGAATTCAGGTATAGTTCCGATCGCTACCGGCCCAACTTGCGGTCCGTTCGATAGTCTTGATTATCATGTTTGTACGTATTTTCTCGCGCTCTCTTATTTTTCGCTTGTCGCTTACCTGCGTGGCTGCGTCTTTGTCGTTTGCCGTGGCTTCTCCGTTTGCTCTTGTCTCTCCCGTATATCTTGTTGTAACAGACCATCAAATGACTGGTGACGGTGTGTCTGTCGTCTCATTCTTTCGACTTCAGAGGTTATTTAAGTGTCGCAGAGAGTCTTCATAGCATTTCTTTCCGTGTTCGAACTAGGTGGGTAACCATGGGCATATATCTGTACAAACACACGCTAACAGGTGTTCTCCCCAGGACTCATGGTGCTCACGCTCATACGCGCCATACAGAACTGGCGGATAAACCAAAGCCGTCTGTACGTTGTCCTGGTGAACCATAACATATTATGTATGCGGTTTTTGTGAGTTTACACTTGTTCGCATTGTTTTCCCATACTCATCCATGATCGTTGTCTTTCCTGAAGTGCTCTCGGTAACAAACATCTTCGCATTGCTGCTCCTCCAGGTACGTGAATATCATAAATCCCTTTTATGATCGAGCCGTTGACGTTCTGTGCCCCAGGACTCCTACCAATCCTTTTTTTCAAGTATGTACCGCCACATCCTCCTGCTAACAATACTCAAACACCCACACATAGTTTCCAGTTTACCATTCTTGCAATTCTTGCCACGCGCATGCACCTCCATCTCTGGCAGGTGAATCGACATCCACACGGCTCTACTAGCGTCCTCGTGCATATTCCAACGTCCGACATCTCATTTGCGAATTCCACGGCGTGATTGTCTTATCCTGTGGCTTATTCGGTGTCGTTCATGGAGCGAGGTTTGGACCGTACAAGATGACTGGTGGGAGACGGTTGGGTAGAGTTCTTTCCAGTTATGTATTATTGTCGCAATTTGAGGCATTTTCAGTTTTGCACCTACCTGTGCCAACCGAGATGCATGGTCGTGGGACACATGATTGTTTGCGCATTGATCAAGCCAGTGCTGGCGGATATGAGCGCTCTCGGGTTTAATTTCACAGCCATTGCTAACTCGTGCACCTACCTACATCCTTCGAAGAAAGCTCAAACCATCCAAATTACCATTCCGCGCTCATAATGATGGGCAGGTGGATGGCGTGGTGTTCCTCAGCCAGCGCCGGTGGCTTGCAAAATACTGTGACAGGTATGATGTACCCGTGCTCGAAGGTAGGTACTCGGCCCTTCGGCTTACATCGGGTTTCAACACAGTGGTACTTATCAAAAGTTACATGCTCAACTTATAGAATGAGTCTGTCCGCGGGGTGGTAGTGGCATTTGGGTCTTTTCAATACCCGTGGGTTTCACTGTAAGCGATGGCGGATTCAAGATCCAGGATTTGAGTGTGCTAGTGCCAGACGCACATGTATAGCCTGACGGCATGGAGCATTGTGGTACAGATCTAGTAAAACACACCACGCTCTCCAGATCAACGAAACGTTTCTGTTTTGATAGGACGACATCTGCAATGACCTACGCTGCCAACAATTCAAATTTGTCTCACTCGACCGGGTAAGTTATTTGCACTTCATGGTTTGTCGGTGACAAACACTACTTTAGGCGGGAGAGTCAGGACATCTGCCTTGATGTGGACCGGAAATCAACATTTATGGCATATTGCCTAGGGAGTGTCCGATGAAATTGTTCACGAGATGTAATAACATCTGGGTGAAGGAAATCTCAGCAGTATCCAGTTGGCCTCGTTGGTGGTCAAGGCGTCTGATATGCGTGATTAGTACGTCCGTGATTTGCTTCGTGTTCATCTATGTGCTACATAATGTGGTGACCTATTTTTGTCTTCAAGTGTTTGCTGCATGCGCGATGCCACTCCACTGCTGAAGTTCTACCCGAGCCTATTGCTCACTCAAGTGAACAGACGTGTGCTCAGGTCCGGGGTACTGGTAGGGTTGTTGTATGCAAAGGCTGTAAACTTCTTTAAAGACAAGCGAGTCATCGAATCATGCTCCGGACCGCTTGAATAACCTATCTTATAGAATTGAAATGAACGACTCGGATATCTTGTCTGTGTTACCTCGTTCTTTTGTTCGCAAGGGTGATAATTAACCGGTGAGTAGGATCTATGTTGCTTCGAACAACTGCGATAGCCGCGCTGACGCTGAAAAGTGGTCTGGATACTCGGATAGCATGCAAGTCAGTCATATGGCTGGTCTACCTAATACACGAAACGCCATCTATCTACAATATATATGAACGATCAACTGAACTCGAGTGTCGTACGTCAGTCTCATTGACTAATCATACCATAGTTGATCATGTAAGCCTCGCAAGGCCTCAAACTTAATTATTTCGAGATGGTTTGTTTTGTTTTGTTGATGTAATGGCGCTATAAGGCAAGTACAGCAATGAACGAGTGATGTTGTAATTTACGCAAGTAGTTTCAGCTGGAGTCCAGGCCACTGCACACGGAATCCCTGTGTTTTGACTTGCCTTAAATTGAATAGGCGGTCTCAAAGAAATCAAACGGCCATCTTAGTTACCATTTCTCGCTAGCACTGGCAGCTCCAACGAGCAATGCGTGCAAGCCTCGCGTCATCTCTTTGGATCGCTGCCCTTCTCTTAGTTTTCTTTCTACTGACGATGACCCAATGCGGCGCTACAGGCTGCTCCTGGGAGAAGGCAACGGACACTCGTGGACTCAACAGGCATCATGCGTCTTGTCAATTTTACAAGAGGTGCAGCTCTCTGGCAACTCGGAAGAGACGGGAACGTGCCAAAGAAGCTTCAAATGCAGTGCGTACTAGTACTACCAAGTAATTAGCTGTTTTCTTGACTTACGTGGACTTGAACTTCAGAAAATTGGTCGTCTCAGACCAATTGCCCCTTGTCGATTGCTAGCAGGGCAAGGACAAGGGTCTGGCACTGGCATCCTTGATGCCTTCGGTCTCGATGACTCAGGACCCTGCCATGACCTAGACCTGATTTCGCAAGATGATGTCGACATTGAGATGGGTGCTAATTGCGGAGACGGCGTTGACTTGGATGGCTTTGGTTCGCATCCCTTTGAATGACGGGCCGCCAGTTTTCTCACTTCTTGAATTCGTCAGAGAAACAGACGAGCCGTATGAGATGAATCCCGAGACCCTTCCGCGTCGTCGAGCCCTTGGAGGAGGACCTTAATCATTCTGATAGCGTCAACAATCAGAGTTCGTCGAGTCAAAGTTTGCCTACTGTACCAGCCCAATCTAGAATCCGACGTGTTCTTCTAACCCTCAGAGATACACTTCAGACCACTTTCAACTCCTTTGGTCTCTGCCGACAATACCCTCGTCGTCCTTCGTTCGAGCCAGATAGATTTATTCCATCTGCGTTACTTGCAAGGACATGTCCAGTTGCTGTTCAAGGAGCCTACTCCACACCGAAGGTCTTTGCACCTCCGTACCCATTTGCTAATATGACTGTCTATAGACTTATATCCTGGATGAACTCCGGAAGCAGTCGGGTGTCAGAGACTAAAGTCGCTGCCCTGGTCAAGGATGTGATACTATCAGAGGATTTCGACTGCAAGGACCTTCAGGGGTTTTCGGTGAGGC